CCAGTTGTCTCAGCGAGAATCTCGTGTGTGTTGTGGTCTGTGTGTGGACCCGTTTGGGTCCTTCCATCACGAGACGCTCCTGTCGCTCTTCCTCTGAATTGAAGAGCCGTGGATACTCAGCCTAGACCCCTTAACTGACTGTAAGCTGCAGCCTGGGGCCACATGAACCCCGTCCGTCTTCGTGCAGTGCCTGGAACACTGCGATGATGAGAAGGTTCCCTTCCTCTGCCGTGACCGTGGCTTGCGTAAGAAGGCTGGGATCCTTGAGCGAGCCCTCCTCTTTGTCAAAGCGTCTGGATGACGTGTTCGGTCTCCCGGCATCGCCCAGCATGGCTGGTGAACCCAGCCAACTCGTGGACTGAAACCTCTGGGATGCGCTCCAGTCCACAAGTGGTTCCGTCTCTGGCCATGGGAGCCTCCTCAGTCCGCCCGTGGTCCTTCACAGAAGATGCCCGTGGCTCGTCTGGTGCCTTTCTTGTCCAGGCAGAGAGCTCAGGACCCCGGCTGGGCCCAGGGGGCTGCTGGGTCGGTCTTGTTTCTAGGTCTTTTCAGGGCACTGAGTTAGGAACTGTTTTAATTTGTTTCAACGATGCTTCAAGTCTGGGACTCCAGGACTTACCTCGCCTCCTCCCTCTTCTTCCGCACCGACAATCCCAGTTTCTAACAACACTGGCGCTGGTGGGTTCAGAACCGCGCAAAGCTAAGGCTCAGTGCTGTGTCCCCGATGTGAGGGTCCTGGGAGCCGGGGCAGCGCCAGCGACCGTGTGCCAGGACGCAGAGCACGGCTGTGGCTTTTGCCGCCCTTGTCCTTGGGGTGGCACCGGGCCCTGCCCTTGGCCCTCCAGAGCGGCTCTTCTCTGGGCAGTCGGGCCCCAGGCGGGCGGTGCGGGTTTGTTTGTCTCATCTTATTTGTGGTGTCTGGAGGTGGCTTCTCTAAATTTAATTTTGTTTTAAACGTGTAAGTCCAAAGTCAAGTCTCTCAAATGAGGAGTATTCCAGGAATTTACTTCCTGCCCCCTGCCCTCCCCGCAGCCTCCCTTCCCTCCTAATGGAGAGGTGGCTGCTAAGTGTCTGGTCGCTCTCTCTGCGGCTGAGAAAGTTGGCGGAGCGGTCCCCTTGGTTCTGTAGATGGACGAGGGGCTTCTCTCTGCCCGTTTCCCAGCCATGCTCCTCGGGTCACCGCGCTGTGCCAGCCCTGCTGGGCTGCTGGGCTGCGTCGGGGCCCTGTGGTGGGACGACTGGGTCCTTTATGGCCTTCTGATGTGTGTTTGCTGGAGGAACGGCGGGGTAGGCTCCTGCACGTGGGACGGCTGGACCAGGGGATGAGGGGTGTGCAGGCTTGCTGGTGTGGCCAGAGTCCCCCGCCCTGCCCTGTAGGCTGCATTATTTTGCATTCCCAGCAGCAGGTGTGGGGTCCTGGTTCCGCACAGCCTTGCCGACGGGCAGGGTCGAGGGTTTAGCGATTTGACACTTGAGGGAGTGTGAATGGAGACTCCACATTCATTTATTTCCTTTTCTCCTGATGTGAGCAGGGCCAGCATGTGCCCTGGCTTCACGGCTGCCGCGTTACTTTTCCCCCCTTCCTTTTCCCTCCCTTCTGACCAGCTCTCCCCCGGCCCCTGCTCTGCCCCTGCCCTGCCCTTCCTTGAGAAGCTGTCCTCTTCCTGGAGGGACCTCTGTTTCTCAAAGTCCCTGAGTGATGCCTTCCCGGACACTGGCTCCCATGGTGCCCCGCACCCTCCCTGCTTCCCCTCTCACTGTGGCCACGTGAAGGCCAGGGCTGCCCGCTTCCTGTGCCCTCAAGGTGCCTGAGAGCAGGGCTCCCTTGGGGGTCTCCCCTGCTGGGCTGGGGGTGTCCAGGTCACCCGGGGGTGATGGTTTCCAATGATGCTTTAGGACCATAGAACTGGAGGTTGTGTGGAGAGCACATTGGGGTGGGGCGGTCTGTCCTGGAGCTCCTGTGGTCCCATGCCACGCGTGGGCATGGGCCATGCCGGAGGAGATGTGGAGGGTACTGGGCACCAGCGTGTGGGAGGCAGCTGTCCCTCCCAGCATCCTTAAGATCTTGTCCAGGGCAGGTGGCTGTGGCCCCCGAAGTGATGCTCAGGGAGAGGCGGGTGTGGGGCCTGGTGTCTGGGGAGAGCCTGCCGATCACCAGTCCCCCACTCTTTCCAGGAGCTGTCCAAGATCACAATGCCGATCGCCTTCAACGAGCCCCTGAGTTTCCTGCAGCGGATCACGGAGTACATGGAGCACGTGTACCTCATTCACAAAGCCTCCTGCCAGGCCCAGCCCCTGGAAAGGATGCAGGTGGGCGGTGGGCTCCTTGCGGGGGCACCAGGGACCGTGCCCGGTTGGGTGCAGACCGTAGCCTTGAGTGGACATGGCACCTGCCATTCAAGTGGTCTCACTGGGCCAGGGACCCGGGCACACGGCAGTGGGACGCTGGGAGGAGGGCCGGCATAGCTCCCACGATGCGCCGAGCTGTCCTGCCCAGCGGCTGGGCCTGTGTACAGGCACGTTCTCCAGGGTGTGGCATCGGGTGTCGCAGCCACCTGTGGGCTGGGCCCAGGGAGCTGCAGGGGTGGCAGGGCTGGCACTCGGCCCCTCTGGGTCCTTTCAGCACCCCCGCCCCGTGTGCGCGCGTGCGTGCGTGCGTGTCTGTAGGTGTGTGCATGTGTGACAGGCAGGGCCTGCGAGGAAGGGAGGCCCGGGCTGGAGGGGTGAGAGGCAATGGCTTGCTGTCTGTGGCTTTGAGGAAGTGGTGGGTGATAAACACCGTTTCCTCGGAAGTGCTGTGGTTTCAAATGTGTCACAAGTGGAAGGCTGAGAAGTCCCCGGGAGGAGGTGCCGGGGCGCCTTCGCAGCCCGGCCGCGTCCCGACAGCTGCCCCTCACCGCCCTGTGCTTGTTTCCAGTCTGTGGCTGCCTTCGCCGTGTCGGCTGTGGCTTCCCAGTGGGAGAGGACCGGCAAGCCGTTCAATCCACTCTTGGGAGAGACGTACGAGTTGGTCAGGTAAGGGCACCGGGCGCTTCTGGAGGGTCTGGCGTGTGGGACCCTCCGTGACAGACGAGCATTGATGTCTCCGCGCTGAGAACAGGCCCTTCGAACTGAGGGGCTGGGGACACTGGGGGCGGGAGGTGCTTCACACACGAGGGGGTCGTGTTAATGACATAACAGGACCCGGGAAAGAAACACGTAGGAGCAGAAGGACGCGTTCGATGCAGGAACGGGGGAGCGGAGCGGAGCGTGGGGCGGCTGCGTCTCCACGCCCGAGCGCTTCCACGCGCTGCAACTCACAGCATCTTTTCTTTCTTTCAGAAAGCAAAGAATGGGTATTGTGTGACTGAC